TGGTGACATCTCTCAGCAATGACCAGAGGAGCTGAGACGAGTTCTGCCTCGGTCCGGGAAGGGCCCAGCGGTTTTGGGATGGGAAGTCTGCCAGGACACCCAAGGGAGTAAATGCAGGAGGGGAGGAGCCTGTTAAGTGGGCAGCTGCTTGTGCTTACAGCCTGTACTGGGTCTGCACTAGGTCTAGGGGCTGCAGAGAAACAGCAGGGCAGGGGCTGGGGCCACAGGCTTGGAAAGCCTTCCTGGGCCTGGGTCCGAGTCACTGGGTGGCAGAACAGTGGGGAGGCTGTGAAGGGCCTCAGCAGGGCCCAAGCTGGTCTGCCTGTGCACTGCGACAGGCCCCGCCTACTAGCAGAGTGAATGGGGTCCGAGGGTGGTCTGGACCCTGGGCAGGGGGAGTGGCATGGGGGCAGCTGCAGTTACCTGTGATGATGCTGAGTTAAGCCGGGCAGCAATGGTGGGATTAGGCAGCTGTTTTGGAGGTCAGGGTTGGTATTCAATGGGATTTAGGGGTCGGGGTTGATGTCAAGGGTGCACAGCTGGAGGTTGGAGGCTGTGGCAGTGAGTGAGCACAGAGCAGCAGCAGGGTCTGGGGGGAGAGGGCATTGGGAAATACAGAGCTGGTCCGAGAGCCCGGGGGCATCCCAGAGTGAGAGGAGGTGACATGGTCAGGGTGGAGGGTGGCATAACAGAGCCACAGGCCAAAGATACAAATAGAGTGACCTAGGTCCAGTTGCTCTCTTGGTCAATGTGCGTGAGGGCAGGGGGACAAGGATTATGGAAAGGTCATGTATAGGTATGTGACAGAGGACCCAGTGGCCAGGGAGCCTCAGAGAGGACCTCAACATGGACTTGAGCACGGCCTTCCAGAAGTGGGGCGAGATCCCTGAGGCCAGGACCTACACTGCTTGCCAGGAGCTGAGGCCTTGTCCAGACCTGTTGGGGGTGGGGGTGCTGCGCAGACAGCCCCTGGATGCTCTTTCAAAGTGGTTGGCTGTGGGGGCCAGTGGGGCCAGAGGGCCCAGGGACATGTGAGTGGGGGAGGGTCAAGGAAGTGATTTTTCTCCTGAGAAAGGGGAGGGAGGCCCAGAGAGGCTGGAGGGAGTGGGTCCAGGTGGTGGGGTGACAGGAGGGGAGGGCTCAAAGGAGGGAGGAGAGTTTGCAGAGGGACAACTGTCTCTGTCCCTCCCCACTCCTGCTGTTTGCCCCAGCCTGGGTATATTGGGGGGACTGGGGTTTGGGAAGGAGGAGGTTCAGTAGAAGGGCAGAAGCTGGGAGTTTTGGGGGTGCTGAAGAAGTCGGCAGGGTTGTGGGGAGCCAGTGAGGGCCCAAACAGGAAGCCCACGGTTTTTTTTTCAGGTGTGGAGCAGGACAAGGCAGCCTTGGGACTTGGAGGGTGGCTCAGTGGTGACTCTATCCACCAACCAGCGGTAACTGAGGCCCTGCGGGCCCCAGGCAAGATTACCGGCTGCAGTGGGACCCGGAACCTGCACGACAACCTGTCAGATCTCCGTGCCCAGGTGGCAGCCAATCAAAAGGGCATCCAGCTGGTGGGGGAGCTCATCGGGCAGTATGGTTTGGACGTGGTGCAGGCCTACATGGGCCACATTCAGGTGGGCCTGGGGGCAGGAGCATGGGGTGGCTGTGCCCGTGCCCAGACAGCTGGGCAGGTAGGGGAGAGGGCACCTGGCTCCCCTTGAAGGCGGCAAGGCTGCCTCTCAACATACTCCCTGCCAGGCAAACGCAGAGCTGGCTGTGCGGGACATGCTTCGGGCCTTTGGGACCTCCCGGCAAGCCAGAGGCCTGCCCCTGGAGGTGTCTGCAGAGGACCACATGGACGATGGTTCCCCTATCCGACTCCGCGTGCAGATCAACCTGAGTCAGGTCAGGCTGCAAGGGTGGGGGGCAGGGTGGGGAGTGGTCCAGGGCGTAGCCGTCAGGCGGCTGACACCTCTCCCCTCTGCTCCGGGTGGGCAGGGCAGTGCGGTGTTTGACTTCAGCAGCACCGGACCGGAGGTGTTTGGCAACCTCAATGCGCCGCGGGCCATTACGCTGTCTGCCCTCATCTACTGCCTGCGCTGTCTGGTGGGCCGCGACATTCCGCTCAACCAGGTGTGCAGGGGTGTCCTGTGCGCGAGGTCAGTAGGTCGACCCCAAGCCCCAGGTCACCCTGAGTGAGCCTGGGGGGAAACCAGCCCAACAGCCCAATACCGGACTGATCCTGGAGGTGCTCGCAGGTGGGACGCATATCTCTCTCTCTGCCCCTGAGAGCCAGCCCCTCCCCCCACAGGGCTGCCTGGCGCCGGTGCGCGTAGTGATTCCTAGAGGCTCAATCCTGGACCCATCTCCCGAGGCAGCGGTGGTGGGCGGCAACGTGCTCACGTCCCAGCGCGTAGTGGACGTCATCCTGGGGGCCTTCGGGGCCTGCGCCGCTTCCCAGGTGCGGCGGGCGGGCGGGCGCTGCTCTGGCTTGCTGGGGTGGCGGGCTGCGGGGAGGCTGGAGCGCACACCGAGGGGATGCCGCCTTAGCTGAGAGCAGCAACCGCTTGCCCCTGCCAGGGCTGCATGAACAACGTGACCTTGGGCAACGCCCACATGGGCTACTACGAGACGGTGGCGGGCGGCGCGGGCGCGGGCCCTGGCTGGCACGGGCGCAGCGGCGTGCACAGCCATATGACCAACACGCGCATCACCGACCCTGAGATTCTGGAGAGCAGGTGAGCCTGCGGGCGGGGCCGGGGAGACGGCCGCAGGACGAGCCCCGTCGGGCTTCACTGAGCTCCTGGCCTTGCAGGTACCCGGTCATCCTGCGCCGCTTTGAGCTGAGGCTGGGGTCCGGGGGCCGCGGCCGATTCCGGGGCGGCGATGGTGTCATCCGCGAGCTGCTGTTCCGCGAGGAGGCGCTGCTGTCCGTACTGACCGAACGCCGCGCCTTCCGGCCCTACGGTCTCCACGGTGAGCGCATCTCCCCTCCCCCAACTACATCCGCCCTTCCGCCAGGTCTCTCCCTATCTCCCCACCAAGCCCCGCCAGGTCTCTCCCTCTCTTGCCTCCTGAGCCACCTGGAGCCTCTTGCAGGGGGCGAGCCTGGCGCCCGTGGCCTAAACCTGCTGATCCGCAAGGATGGCCGGACAGTGAATCTGGGCGGGAAGACGTCCGTGCTTGTATACCCTGGGGTAAGGATTGTCGCCTGTCTTGTCCCATCTCCATCACCCCAGAGGCCCCAATCCTGTGGAAGATGAACAGACTTGCAAAAATAACCAGAGACCCAGTTTAATTTGGC